CTGTAGGAGATAAAGAGTCTCTTTTTCAGGGCTCCTGGTTTTCATATTTAGTTTTCAGTTGTTTGTTAAAGTTCAGTACATTTTCATTATCCACCTGTAGGCCACCAGTACAACTAGTGATAACTAATCAATTCTGTTGCCCTTGTATACATTATTCCTCTGTACTTTTGAACATCTGAATCATTGCATTGGCCTGAATGTTGTGTATGGAAGCATTCTCCCAAGTTAACCCCTGGTGAAATGTTTTAATTATTGGGGTTATAAGTTGTATCAGGACTATTAATGCCTCACATACCACCCAGGATGGGGTCCTTATTGTAAGGTTTACAGTGAGTGATACAGTCTCCAAACCTGGAAGGATCTGAACCAAAATACTGTACATTTTTACCCAATACTCAAAATAAGGAGTCTGAATACTCATAGCAGATCTTTATTGGTTCCAGTGTTAGTTTTGAGTAAAATGCAGACAATCTGGTGTTTCTTTTCTTTCTGTAAAACTATTTAAAATTTAGAATCTCCTCTCATTTCAGCATATATACTGACAAGCCAGCAAACTAATAAAACTAACCAACCAATAAACAGAACAAAGTAGTTATAAAGAAAAAGGAATTAGAAGGAAAATAGATGGTGAAGGAAAATAGATGATTAATATTAGAGTCAGAATTAGGGAAGTAAAATTCGTGGCTGCTTATTGCAAAGATAAAAAGTGAAATATTTTATCTTTTAATAGTCTGGTGGGTGTGGCAGGAAGGGGGAAATAGAAAGAAGCCCAAATTATTTTTTTTCTACCCCAAATGTTGGTCAAGTATGACACCTAGAGGCCACACAAACAGAATCCCTTTGGGTAACTTTTTTTATAAGGCAAGATGTGTTTATATGGAAAATTTCTTTAAAGTTATTTCAAAACAGATATTTTTAGATAATGTGTCATGTAGTCCTGAATAACAGTTATATTCCCTCATTTACTCATTATTTTTCTTCATAAAAACTGATGATATTAAATGTTATTTCCCTCTCTGTCAAGTAAATGAATTTTTGATTGACTTTTAAGTGCTGATCCTAATCACTGAAAGTCAGTGTCTGTATGTCTTTTGGGTCATCAAGTATGGCTGTATACTTATTTATGTTCTACTGAAAGAGAAAACACATGTATACATCTGTGCACACCCACCCTCTCTGGAATTTGGAAATGAGAGCAAAAATAATAAAGACAGATACAAGAGCAACACATGAGAGGTGATAGGGTCAGAATTGTCTTCTTTCTAAAAATTAAAAAAAACATAAATTCTTTGCCCTTTTTCATCCATTGCTTTGGAAACTTTTATTGCCCTGGCTCATTACTACTTGAACAGTTCTTCATGAAAAATGATGAATGATTGACTTCAAGGCAGGCTGTGCAGATGGTCAGTTTGAACTGCATCTTTGAGACTTCTCATGACTAAATGTTGACATCATGTCGTTAAACATTTGTGTGTTATTTATGTCATATGCTAGAAAACAAAGATTGCTGTGTCTTGCTATCTCTTGCTGTTTCTCAGTTTTATTGATAGGATTTATCTAACTGGATACTATAGCTTTTACAAAGGAACATGTATCTGAATATATATATCATTTATCTGTCCTCAGAGACCCATACATTTTTGTCCTCAAGTGCAATAGTGACATTGTTATAGATAACATATGTGACAGTGGTGGAGACAAATGTTTCTATGACTTAGTTTCTGTAACCTTGTCCAGAGGTATCTATTACTAATTGTGCATGTGCGTGTATCTGCAGTGATTTTTTTTAACTGTTTAAAATAAAAAAAAAAACATTAATTGAAATATAGTTGAGTTACAAATGTTTCTGGTGTCCAGCAAAGTGATTTAGTTATACACATACGTATATATCTATTTTTTTTCAAATTCTTTTCCAGTATAGGTTATTACAAAATAGTGAATATAGTCCCCTCTGCTATACAACTGGCCCTTGTTATTTATCTATTTTATAGACAGCAGGGCATCACTGGTGGCTCGGACAGTAAAGAATCTGCCTGCAACGTGGGAGACTTGGGTTCATTCTCTGGATTGGAAAGATCCCCTGGATCAGGGCATGGCCACCCACTCCAGTATTCTTGTCTGGAGAATCCCCATGGATTCTTGGGGAGGAGCTTGGCAGGTTACAGTCCATGGGGGTCACAAAGATTCAGACATGATTGATCAACTAAGTACAGTGTATATCTGTTAATCCCCAATTCCTAACTTATCCCCCTTTCCTCCTTGATAGCCATAAGTTTGTTTTCTATCTTTGACTCCATTTCTATTTTGTAAATAACTTCATTTGTATAATTTTGTGGATTCCACATATAAGTGGTATCATATGATGGTCGTCTTTGTCTGACTTACTTAGTACGATAATCTCTAGGTCCATCCATGTTGCTGTATATATCATTATTTCATTCATTTTTATGGCTGAATAATATTATTTGGAGTAATCTTTAAGAGCTTTGTGTAAATTGAAATTAAAAGAAGGAAACCAGTTGTTGGCTGGTTTCAAACACTACAGCAGAATATGAGCCCTAGTTGTGTATTTTAAATCGCAGCAGATTTGGAATTAGCACCAATCCCCCGTTCTGTATAATGCTTGAAAGTGTAGCCATGATGTTTTAACTCTTAACCAGCTGAGGAATTATTATACAACTATGGATAAATATAAAAACCAGAATCTTAAATTTTCTTTTGACATTAAGCAATTAAGTATAGCATCTGATTGCTTTTCAAAGGGCTAGGTCATTATCCTGTACATCAAATTGTCCTAGCTTCACTCCTTAGATTCTGTCTTCTGTTCTTTAATGACTTTCTACTTGGTGGATTGGTTTGGGAATTCCCAAGATTGCTTAGAATGGGCTGATTAACTGAGTACTTTGTTTTAAATGCTGTTTGTGCCAGAAGTAGAGGATTTTAGGATTTATCACCCTAACATCTGAGAAATGAAAACAGGATAGGAAACCACTGCCTTTGTAGAGTGTTCTCTAAGAAGACAGAACCAAGGAAGCTATAGCAAATCCTATTCTCTTCTTTGGTCTCACTGTTGAAACCAGTGCTCTTCCAGGCAGCCACACACAAGTTGGAATCAGGTTTTTTTGTATCCTTTATCAACCTATAATCTCTTGATGGTTGCCCACTATTTTTCACCAGTGAAGAAATAGTAATCCATACTAGCTTATCTCTCCTAATCACAGACTCACAGAGCGAAGGCTCTCTGAGCTTTTAATTCCCTCTTAGAGGCCTAACAGAGTGGAAAGTAAACAAAGACCAAATTTGCAACCTTCAACATTGCTAATTTCCTCTGATGTCAGAATGCTTAAATAGGCAGGACCTAGAAATTATTTGATCAAACCTGCTTTTAATCTAATGCATGCAGCAGGGCTGTGTCTGGAATGATCTGCAAAACGACAGGCTTCCCAAGAGAGCTTTATGGAAGGTTTCCTCTTTCAGGAACAGTAGCTTCCTCATTTTAAACTCTTTGCTTGACCAGGCTGATGGAGTAAATTCATTAAGAGTAGTTTTCCTGCTTTTTAGATTTTATTTTATTTGGCCAAATATTGCTGACTGGATGTGAATAGTTTTCTTTGGCTTTCTTTTTTGCCTGGTTTTTAATTGGCTAAATGCCTTGATATTATTTTAGCTTTACTAGGAAATGAATTAGTAGAGATTATTATTGGGGAGAAGAGAGAAAGGGCAAAGCATTATCAGACTTCACATACATTTCTTTATTACTACTGGTTTAAGAAAGAGAAAACAAAGAACAAAAGGTCCAAACCCATTAAATTATATAAAGGTACTTTTCCTACAGTAGTGTTATGAGAAATCAGTGTCAAATATTTTTAAGTAAAGAATTTACTAATTTGGAGATAAACAAATGAAAACGCAGTTTGTTCTTTAATTTCACTCAGAACTGTGTGAATCCTTAAAAGTAACATAATTTTGACAGCGGATAAAGGGATCGCACTTTTATATTTATATAAATATAAAATATTTTATAAAATATAATTTTATATGTTAAATATAATGTTACGGTTAGTTTTTGTAAAATGTTATCCATATAATTAGGTATCCCAGTGAATACTTATTAATACTAATTCAGTTTTAAAGGCTGTTAAAAGACAATGTACTTTGATTTCTAGCAGATCAGTACTGCTCATATTTTTATTGAGGATAGAATTAAGTTAAAAAAGAAGGATTTTAAAAAGTTTAAGTACCTTTCAACAGCAAGTAAATATTTCTGCTGTTTTCCTATGTTTTTCACGTCTGATGATAAGTACTGCTCCCCACATAAAGTAATTCAGAAACACTGATGCTTTGTGTAAATAAATATATGCTAAGAGCAGGCCACTGGATCTGGCATTTGACTCCTTGGATGACGATGAATTTCAATGCCTGTTATTTGTCATGCCGAAGCCTGTCGGGTGATGATTCTTTTCATTGGTGTATCCCTCCAAACATATTTCATCACGCCATGTGCACTGGAGTTCTTTGGGTGTGTTGGATCCGGGTGTCCCCTCTCCGGGGCACTCGCCTCCTTTCTCGCCCTGGCGCTCTAGCCGCCCCCCCGCCTGCAGCGCCCTCGGTGCCGGGTCGGCTCACGCCCCCTCCTCTCTCTCCATCCGGCCGAGGCGGGGGCGCGCTGCCTCCCAGACTGCATGACCTGCTCCGTCAGCTGGGGCCCCCTGCGGACGGCTGCCTCCCTCGCCTCCAGGACCTGCCACTCTGTGCGGAATGGCAGCGGCGGCAGCATCCCCGCCAGCGGCGGCGGTGGCGGCGGCGGCCACGGCCACCGCAGACGCTATTGTTCCCCGGTGTTAAACCGCTTTCCCTCCTTTTCATCTGACACGAAAACGAACAATAGCGGGAAAGAGCTTTGCGTTCTGTACTTGGGAAGACATTCCGAGGGCGAAGGAACATTCCCTGCCCGCCGCGTCCCCTTCAGGGATCCGGACCCTGGAGCGGCTGCGGGCGGCATGGGGCTGCCAGCGGGGCGCTCGGCGTCCCGGAGCCCGGGCGCTGCGGGCCGGCGCCCGGCCGTCCTGCCGCTCCTGCTGCTGCTGCTGCTGTGCCCGGGCGCCCGCGGGGCTGTGGCGCCTGGCGAGGCGGAGGCACCCATCCTCTATCTGTGGAAGACCGGTAAGTGGAATGGAGTCCCCCCGTGCTTCCCATCTTCACCTCTGGGTCCACATCACGAAACTGCTGGGCTTCCGGAGGGACCCCTGTGATGACCTGGGTGTGCTGGGATCCCGAGGTAAAAAGTATGATTCCTAGGACGCGAATTAGGTCGTGTCCGAGGCTATTAGGAAAGAACCTAATAACTAAAAGGCATTAGTGAGTCACTGGAATGATATTTCCCTCACAGCTTCATAGTTAATGAGGGCAACCAACGCGGCACTTTCATAATTAAGTGCAATATTTTTAACCTCTGTGTTCTCATTCTGCGAGGACTTTCTTAAATATATTTCTGGCAAAGAGCAAGCAAACATTTAGCCCCGGTTTTTATCCTGTGTTAAGGCAAACAGTTCGCTCCGTGCCATGATGTATACGGATACAGACTTAAATTTAAGTGTAGCTTATGTGGGACACGTGGAAGCGAGCCAAGTGAGGGCATGTCTAACAGTTAAAGGCAAATGGGGCGCCAATGAACTGGCTGAGACCTTGTAAAGCTCCATTCTTAATGAGTGAATTGTGGGGTTTTTTAAGTGTGATGGTTAGGATGTTTAGGTTTAACTTTTCCTGTCTTGAAAAAAATTTTTTGCTTTGTTTTCAACCAGCCAACAAAAGCAAGCAACTAATTGCCCCTTGGAATCTCCCAGCAAAGTGCTGACTAGAGGTCCTGGCGGGGCAGTGACAGGCAGGAAAACAATACCAAATGAGGCATTACCACTCCTCTCCCGGGGCCCCTCTCTCCTCTAGAGGACACTGAGAATTCTTCAGCTGACCTGAAACTTCTTGTTTATAGGAAGATAGTGGGAAGCATTATGCTTAGTGCTTCTGGCTAGGGATGATTAAGAGTTTCTTGGCAGTGCCTAAACATTAAGAGAAGGATGCAGTAGATATGAGTAGGGAAGGTATATTATTGGTCATGGGATCACAAATGAGTTACAGAGAGTGACTCTGACCTGACTTCAGCTGTTTTTAGAGCTCTAAGGCAGAGACAGATTAGTCTGCACTACAATAACATTGATATCCTGGTTTTTTTTAATAAAAAATTGTTGCATCTGTGTAGCAACTTAGTGAAGAGATTGAATAGAAACTTGTCTAAAGCCAAAGTACATAATTTGCTTCAGAATGTTGCATGAAATAACACACATGTACACATGTTTAGAAAAGCATATTAGTGTAAGTCATTCTTGTTACCACTTGAAGTTTAAAGATCGGCTGATTAGTTGATAAAGATGAAATCAAATAAAATTATTTTTCAAGTTACAGTAAAGAGTTGAAGATCTCTGATTTAGCTAAAGCCAGGGTTCAAATTTATACTTTTAAAGTACTAAGAGCTGAGCGGTAATTCAGATCAAAGATGAGTCTAGGCAGCGTCCACTGTACACAATCTGCCAATATGTGTCAATATCAATGTCGTGATGGAAACACAAGCCAATAAACAGTTTAAACTAGTGGAAAGCTCAGAAGAGCAAGGATATGGAGACCTTGATTCCAGTGTCTGTTCCAGCTCTTGCTCCCTTCAGGAACATTGGAGTGTCACTTAACTTTTGATCTCCAGTTTACTCATCTGCCTGTAAATATGACCTTCTCCTGACTATTCCTCGTATCGTGAAGATCAAATGAGTGAGTGATGAGAATGTAATCTTTAAACTTTAGAGTTATGTGCATGGCCAGATATAAGCTAGTGTGATGAGGATAATGTAATCTCTTTTATGGTGAGCCTTGGTTTGGTAGAAAAAAATGGTGAATTAAACAGGAGAGCAAGATAAGGACCTTTTTATTTTTTTTCTGGAGGGAAAGTAGAATTTACCATATCTATGAAGGAACTGAGAGTAGTTATCAGAGGAAATAGGGAATATTAAAGAAGAAGGATAAATGTAAATGAAAATACAGAGATGATAGAATCATAAGTGTTCCTCATTTGATGGCACTAAGGAGACACGCAGGGATTTGGGAGAGAAAATGAGGTGAGACAGTCTTAAGATTCTGGTGGGATAAGCTTGGTCTTGCTAGAGCAGATTATTTAGAATCACATTATTGGTGAGATCATTGAATTAAAGTGATTTAGTGAAAAGTACACTGGATGAAGAGCTGAGAGAGGAACTCAACACTGTGTTTGTCACTATCAAGTTTTAGAATGTTGGCAAGGTCATTCAATGACTTTAGTTCTTGGTTTCCTATTTTGTGATATTTACTGACTAGGAAAGATGATATTTAAAGGCTTTTTCAACCCTAAAGTATGTGCACATATGCACATACATACACCATAAACATAGCTGTATGCATCTATACATATATATAATATATAAACATGTATATATACATATAGGATACATATGTACATAATGTGTAAGGTTTAGAATATATAGTATATATTATATGAAAGTTTAATGTATAAGGCATTTTGAATTAGTTTTTTTAAGTCAGTTCACAACAAAGAGTTGTTGAGGACTCACTGTGTGACTTACATGAAGTCATTGTGGTAGATGATTAAGATACTGTTTTCCCTGCCCCCAACAAAGTCCAGTTGAATAATATACAACACTTGGAACATGGCATACCATACTCATGAATAGAACACTATGAGAGCAAAGAAGTTGTATAGCTGATAGATGGAAACAATAAAAATGTAAGGCATGACAATACAATATTCATAGGTCTTATAAGTATTGTAGCTCAAGTCTGGAATATTTGGTGGGAATGAATGGATTTAGTGCTAATGAGATGAGTTGGGCCAGATTGTAACAAAACTTTAAACCTATGATAAAGATGTTATAATCTAACCTATAAGCTGGTGGAAGCCATTATAACTTAGAGCAGAGTAGCTTTTCCTGTAAATTTTAGGTTCTTGCCTCATTGCCAAAGAATTTAATGAGAGACAGTTGACAGGTAAGAAGTGAATTTATTTAGAGAAAAACACACTCCACAGACCTGAATGTGGGCCATCTCAGAAGGCAAGAGGCCCTGAAATATGACTTGGTTAGTTTTTATGGTTTGGGCAATTTTATAGGCTAATGGGTGGGGTTTCCCTGGTGGCCTCGGCAGTGAAGAATCATCCTGCCAGTTCAGGAGACTCCGGTTCAGCCCCTCGGTTGGGAAGGTCCTCTGGAAAAGGAAATGGCAACCCACTCCAATATTCTTGCCTGGGAAATCCCATGGATAGAGGAGCCTGGTGGGCTATAGTCTATGGGGTCACAAAAAAGGAGGACGTGACTTAACTACAACAACCTCAATGAGAGAGAAACTGTTGAAAGAGCCTGACAATGTGTAGTCAGAACAGGTCCAAAGAAAATGCCAATAGGTGTTAAATAAAGAAGATATCTTCGGAAGGGGATGGGGCACAAAGTGTAAGACATTTCCGAGAGTCTGAAAAGGGATTATGAAATATTTCAGAAAAGATCAAGTGAAAGGAGGAACTGATAAGATAATTCTTTTGGGAAAAGACATTTTAAGTAGAATAGTAGAGATAGAATCTTGGTTGAATAATAAACCAGACAGTGGGGAAGTTATAGTATTGATACAACCAAGTGTTTGTCTTTCCACAACATTTTGCTTTTCAACAGAGAGAAAACCCAAAATATAAGATATTATATTATAAAAGTAAATGTTTCAACAGTTTTATGTACAGTTAAAAGGTAACTTTTAAAACTTGAAAAACATATTTCATATATGCAGAGTTAGAGAACTTACATTATTGGAAGGTGAATAATTACTGTTACTGATAAGTGTTAGACAGTTTTTTTACTTTTTAATATTCTTGAATATGGAATTGTTTCAATAATAATTATGGCTAATTATATTCACCGAGCAATTCCAAATGAAGTGCATTGAACAAAGTATGATTGACTTAACATGAGGCAGGCAGAAAATGGTAAATACATCCAACTTTAATCAATTTAGGCTGCAGATATATATTTTCAAAAAAGTTTTAATGAAATAATTGAATTTATTTTTATAATAATGAAATTACACTAAAATCCAAGAAATAGATGCACACTTCAGTTCAGTTGTTCAGTCATTTCCGACTCTTTGTGACCCCATGGACTGCAGCATGCCAGGCTTCCCTGTCTGTTACCAACTCTCAGAGCTTAATCAAACTCATGTCCATTGAGTCGGTGATGCCATCCAACCATCTCATCCTCTGTCGTCCCCTTCTCCTCCTGTCTTCTATCTTTCCCAGCATCAGGGTCTTTTCCAATGAGTCAGTTCTTCACATCAGGTGGCCAAAGTATTGCAGCTTCAGCTACACCCTAGCCACACAGTTTCAGATACACACTAGCCATTTTTCAGAATCAGGTGATGAGGATGTATATATAATTAGTTCTGAGTTTTTTCTCAAGGAAATTCTCACATTAGGCACTTTTGACCTGGGTTCATCCAGTGCGAGACAGTGCTATTAATGACTGTCACTGTGTGTTTTACACGGTTAATTGCACATAAAATAATTGTTTCATCCGTTTAAAATAAAAACAGGTATTATCCCTTTTTTCTTTCTGTACTAATATAAAATATTATGCAATGTATATGAAAAAATAGCCATCCTAGTCTTACCATTCATTAAATAACATAGGCGAGAGGAATGTTGTTCCAGGTACTAGGAACGTAAGGGGGACATTATCTTAAAAAAAAAGTTTGCATTTCAGTTGTGATTATAATTTGTGTTAATTTGGAATGTGACACAGTTTGCTTATTAAATGAAGAATAGAGAAGGAGCAGAGGGAGGGATGGACAGAGTGTGGGCATCAACACCAATTAATTTGGAATAACATAGATCAGAATGGTACCTAAATTATTTCATCACCCTGAATATTTTCTTTCATCCCCAGTATGGATAAACATCTTGTTTTCTGTAGGGGTTTTCTGAGAATTAAGTATAATAACATATGTATATACTTGTAGAATACTTCATACATATTGGGACTTCAATGAATGTTAAGGTATATTATTGCTATTATTCTATTATATAATAG